TCTTGTGTCAAGTGTGGCATTTTCTCAAAGAGATTGAGTTCCACAATTCCTTGTGCTTTTACAGGGCCTGGATGCAGGTAATGAATGTGCACAACGTGTTTCATGAATGTGGTTGTGTTTACGAGAAATGTCAAAGGTTCAGTTTTAAGTATCAAAGTTCATGTGAGAGGAATGCTCTGGGCCAGAATAACAGCCTTTTATCCCTACATCCTCTGTTGTAAGTTTCAGTACAACAAATACCAATTGCGTTTTTAATGGCTTCAGTATAGATACAGTGAGTGAGTTAAAATTAAACCGTAACGTCACAAGGGCAATAGTCAGCCATAAAATGATGAGAAATCGAATAGAAGTATAATATATAGTGTTAATAAGAAGCCTGTCATTGATGGACAGTATAATAGCTAGAATATAAAGGTGCATTATAAAACTAGCTGAAAGCAGTTAAAAGACCAAAATAATTATTAATCAACAAGACGATATAAAAATGGGCTATAGATCGCCAGTAACTAAAGGTAGATCACCATACTAGGGACCATGGGGACGTACAGTACTTTTGCTACCTGCATGGACCCTTGCTAGATTTACAGCATCCCTTCAGCCGCTGGCGACATTTGATGAGTTTAGCCAAACTTACAAGGAAACAGAGAAGACCTCCCCAAAGGAGCCAAATGTTTCGCTATGTATATCTGGTAGGTGTACGTGCGATGACCACACAGTGTGGCTGAATGTGACATACCTTCAGTAATGCTTACTTCAATAATAACCCGTGAAGATCCAGGTATGATTTGATCTTCAGCCTCCCATGCCTGTCCTAAAAGGCGACTAACGGGATCAGGTGGTCAGGTTCGCTGACTTGGTAGAAACATGTCATCATTGCGTAGTACGATGCTCATGCTGTTGATCACTGGACTGTCTGTTCTAGATTCGATTATTTACAGACAACCGTCATATACCTGGAATAATGCTGAGTGCGGCTTAAAACTAAACTCCATCACTTCAATAATATCACGTGGTCATAATCTGGAGTGAGTAAGATCTGTGTGCAATTACGGTTGTGTCAAAGTAAAACCCTGGTCCCTTTGTAATCTATTTTTCGGATGTGTCTTTAACGGGGATCGTTGTAGTTCCGGCGTATTACTGTAGTTTGTATAAATACAAGTCTGAAACAATGCATATGGATATATAATTCTCCATCAAAATATCTATTCCATCACATTCATTTCATTGCACATTGTTCAGATGATAACACTTGCAGTACTACCACTGAACATAAAGAAACATCAACGTGTCTTACCATCTATGGGACACCTTGTTTCAAACTGGCCACATGTTGTGAGGCACCAACAAACCACCAGCCAAGGACCTAAATATGTATGCCTAACTTAGCATGGGAATCCTAATTCTCATCAGTAAAGTAAACGTACAATCTGTTTTGACTCAAACATAAATCTGAATCAATTGAAAGTGAAATTATTGACACCAACAACTGCTAACCACAAGTAAAAGTATACCTCCACCAAATACATAAATTCAGCAACAATTAATCCTGAATTAACCTTTCAACAATTCAACATATTTTTGTATTTTATTCTTTTTTATATAAAACCAAGTGGAACTAACCTGTAATTCACCAAAATCACAATCCTCCATCTATGACTTTCCAACTCTCTTGCCAGGTTGGGAGAAAGACAGCAAGTGAACAAACTTCACACTTTCCAAATGCAACTAAATTCAACATCCAATCAAGATGCTGCACATTTTCAACCAATGAAAACTAAGGACAAGACAGCAGACCCGACCTCATTAAGATTTTGCTAATTTGCATAGGAAGTACTACTCGACCCATGAACCAGTGATGACTATAAACAAATCATGGACTTGTGAAAATGTAAAACTTTTCACTGACAATTGTATTGTGTAAGGTGTTATGAATTGATTCCGAACAGGAACATAAAACAAGACATATTACAATAGATTGCTTTTCAGGGACAATTTACAATTTGTATATCTTGTACTTGTTACACACTTGTTTTGTACTTGTTACATATGGAAACTCGGATAATTCAAAGTGTTTACTTAGGTCTCTTCAACGTGGACACAAGAGTATTTGTATTTTAAACAGTAAGATTATAGCTATTTCCTAAACTCTGTGGTTTGTTTGGGTCTCACGAAATTTGTGGTTTTCTATACTTTCTTAAATTAACTCAGTCCATTGTTACACATAACCAGCGTAACCGTCTAATTAAGAATTGTGGATGTTTCGACATATTTTCGAGTTTTCAAATATTTCCAGCACTGACATTACATTACATTTGGGAATGATGAAGTCACATTTTCTCGGCATCATACGTGTAAAGCAGTATTGATTGTCACTAACAAGGCATGGCTATCAATTTTTTTGCCATGAGGATGGTTTCCGTACTAGGAAATGTAAATACTGCATGCATTGTGCTAATTAGTGACTTGGCGTGATCGCGTCTTGAAAGGGTTGCCTTTGATGTCTAAACATATTCTGTTGCCGTGGCAATACAATTGATCTTCCCGTTACATATGTATATTTGTTTGTTCGTTGTTTAACGCTGCACTCAGTAATATTCCAACTGTACGACGGCGGTCTGTAAATAATCCAGCCTGGACCAGACAATCCAGTGATCAACTGTTACGGATGTAATCAGAAATGTATGGAATCCTGATAAACGTCACCAGAAGTGACAAACTAAACCAAAATTCGGCAATGCGACAACGTGACATTTGTGGAGTTACAATAACACTTCTCTATTTCATCAAAGCGCGGAATGTGTATCTGTTTTGGCTTGGTTAACCTAAGGTAACAACACGACAAAAAACCTGTCTTTATCACTGAGTGAGTGAATGGGTTTAGTTTCACGACGCTTTATGCAATATTCCAGCAATATGACGGCGGGGGGACACCCCAAATGACCTTCACTCATTGTACCCACGTTGGGAATTGAACGCTTTAAGCACTAGGCTACCCTACCACCCTTTATCATTGGGAATATACGTGTTTGTTAGGAGGCTCACAGACCACATACCTCGGCTGTGTGCATCATGCACGGTATAATAGAACCGTTGTACCAGCACACCCTACCCAAACCATCCTTTGCACATTGCCTAAAGTTTGCATAGATTTCAAAGCACCTCTTCATATGTACACATGCATGTCCGTGATAATATATAAACTCATATTGATTTTATTTTTTTAGTTGCATTGTCTTGGTGAACGTTTATTTTATTATGTGCATGGTCACAAATAACAGATAATTGATGATATTCATACATGTGCATAAATATTAATAACAAAATACATACCCATGAAGGTCCGGGTTAGAATTCGTCTGCAGTAACCCATGCTTGCCGTAAGAGACAACTAACGGGATCGGGTGGTCAGGCTCGCTGGCTTGGTCGACACATGTCATCGGATCACAAATGTCTGGATTGTCTGGTCCAGCCTCGATCATAGCTTTATAGTTCGGCGATAAACAACAAGCAAACAAAGCAAGAACTCGCCAATATCCTCAACTGTGGTCGTTTCATGAATTATATATGTGAAATTCGAAATTAATGCATGTGATAATTGGCATAGGTTTATGTATGAAATGACTATCTTTGCACTGGAATACGTTCGTGAGAAAGTGTCTTGTATGCGGTTTATGTAAGGTAGTAACATCTTCATATGTATAAACTATTCATTTAGTTTCAGTATGGGATTCATATTTGTCATCTTTTCATCTTCACACCTATTGTACGCATGACATTATACTACTGACATACAACATGCATCCCTTTGAAAGTGACATTTAAAACTTATTAAATACAATAATATTGTTGTCTATATGAACTGTTCTTAAGGCAAGGGGTAGGCTATTAGTTAAACCGTTCGTTCGTAGCGACAAGGATTATTCTTGAGGAGATGAGATGTTGTTGGACTACTAGTGTTAGGGTTCATCTGAGAGGTAGCGTAGTGGTTGAAGCGCCCTCTCGTCACTCAGAAGACCCAGGTTTGATTCCCAACTCAGAGAGTGAGTATGGTTCTATGCCGCCTTTAGAAATATTCCAGTTATATCACGCTGGGGGACACCAGGACTGGGATTCACACATTGTACCTATTTGGGGAATCGAACCCGGGTCTTCAGGGTGACGAGCTGGCGCTTTAACCACTAGGCTACCTCACCACCCCGGTGTGCAATCATGTTGATATGGATCAGTAATACTGTTACTTGGGTAATCTCTCTGTGCAAGCTACGCATGTTACACCATTGGTCGCGCAAGGCCAATTATATTCACCTTAAAGTATTTGACAAGCATTCACAACCTTGAAGATCATGAATAGATGACACGAATCATGGATAACAACTTCTTTCATGCTTTGTCACAACGTTAAATTGCACTCCTTGCTCTTTCATCAGGTCAATGCTGAATGAATGCATTCTGTTGACAGTGACATCACCTGGAAATACTCTGAAACAAGGATGTGATATGATCAGGACATGAGTTAGTTCAGGACACGAAAAGAAACAATAAAGTTTCCGACTCCATGAAGTTTTCCTCATAGTTACATGTACCCACATGAAGGAAAATTGCTCCTGAAGTAACTTCCACAATATTATCACGTACCTATTCATATGACAGGCACCGTAAGGTAGCCTATTGGTTGACGTGTACCCTCGTCACTCAAATGACCCGGGTTCGATTCCCCACATGGGTACATTCTGTCAAGCCTAGTTCTGGTGTCTCCCAGATTGTTGGAGTAACTCACTCACTCACCTTTCAAATGACACCTGTAACACCAGTAGATAATTGCCGACGACAACGAGGATGATTCTTAGTCAGTGGTGTAAGAGAAACCATCAGCTATTATTTAGTTCGGGTTTTTCAAAGATTCTAAATAACTGAAATAATGATGGCCTACACAACATGTGTCACCAACAGTTCGACTTCCGTGTTTCCTCTTGAGTCCCAAATATAATAATATCATGTCGTTCAAGTGCAACATTTAATCTTGCAAGTATCTACAGCCCATTGCACATGTAGAAGTACAATATATGCAACATTGATGTACACATAAGAAGTTACAATGAGAACTTAAGCAACTTAAGCAACACAAAATGAAGCTATAATATACATGCAATTCGAAATAATTTGATCTAAACGTTAACAGAGGGAAGTGCAACTTATATGATATAAATGCATCGAGAATGAAAGATCTTAAATCTGCTTTTTATTCGTTGATCGTGTTCATTCTGTTCATCTGTGGATACATTTGAATCAACATCAATCTCTCTTTGCTGATTTAGGTGATGTGCTTGAGCTGTAACGGTACAACTGGTTAAACGATTCATTTCATAATATCTTGCAGCTGCTCAAAGTATTACATTTTCCATTGTATTTTTTGTACCTTGTCGGGGATACATGCTGGTACGTTTCAGTAAGTTCTATGCATGTCCAAGTCTAAGGCATGTCATCGGGTTGTTTATTCTTTCAGACTTCCAATAAGATTTCTCCAGAACATCACCTTCTCTCCTTCCAGTGGATATTCCAAATAGGAATCCGATTGTATATGATACAATATTTCCACTGGGATTTGGTTGGTTGGAATGTGCTCCATCATAATAATCAGCAACACGTCCCTACCAGTAGACACACTCTCCATGTGAGCCATCTGAAGCTCGTGGACACACCAGGAGCTCTTTAAGAAATGACTGGACAAGATAACCAGCGTTCTTCTACTAGTTTTGACAGCTTCAATGATATTGTGAGCTATAGGGCGGCCAGCGGTGAAGTCCCGCTGATGGAAGTTCAGTCTCATGTCTGATTCTTCCTCTAACTTCACCAGGAGCTCATTAACAACAAAGTCACGATCTTCTTCTGCGAAGGAAACAAAGGCATCGTAGACGAACGTGTGGTTGAATGAGTGTGTCGTACTGTATCTGTGACGTGCTGCATAATAAACATATTTCAATTTCCAACGAAATCGATACAGTAGAGAACAAATAAGCACACTAAAAGTAACAAGGACCACTAAAGATATTCCAACGAACAACCCAAAATGCACAGAGACATGTTGACACCAGGATGTTAAATCTGCAACAACCTTTTCCAAGTTATCAAGTTCCACGGAACGTTCATCATCATAAATGCAGAAATAATCTGAAAGATTTCCAAAGAAAATGGTGCCTTTAGCTTTAGCTGTTATCATCCATGACAGAAACCAAATGTTTTTGCAATTGCAATAGATGGGGTTTCCAGAAAGGTCTACCGTTATATTGTGATTATCCGAGAGTTTGTCAAGACTGGTTGTAAACGTTTTAGTTAACCAGTGTATTTGGTTCCCGGAACACTGTAAAACACTTAAGTTCTTCATGTGGCTTATATCAAAGTGTAAGGCATATATCGTATTCTTAGAAATGTTTAACACTCTCAGTGATGATAGGTTCGAGAAAAGAGCGTATGAGTAGTTATTTATGTAGTTTGCTGATAGGTCCAACGTTTGAAGTTTGCTTAGGGCACTGAACATGTTACCATTAGAGATATTCCCCAGAACAGTTCCCAAAAGATTCTTGGAAATGTTCAAATGTTTAAGGTTCTTGAAAGACCCGAAAAATTGCGAAGTGGCAAATTTCGCAATGTTATCTGATAGATTTAAGGTTTCAAGTTTTTCAAATCCAATACCATTGCCAATCCACTTCGTAAACAGGTTCCGTGAAACATCAATTTCAGTAATGTTGTTCTTATAAACTTGAAATCTTGTGATATGAAAGAACAATTGTGACACCGAAAAATCTACCTTCTGTAGATTAGGGGGTAGATGAATAAGAAAAGGAGGATGGGGTGAATAGTCACCATCAAAGTATACAGAACTAAGGCGTTTAGAAAGAAAAAACATTTGTCTGAAATCATCCAATGACGGAAACGGCAGTCTTCTATTGCCATAACCTCTAATATTGATCACTTCTAAACCTACCAAAGATGAAAGGTCTCCAATGTAAGGACCATACTCAAATTTGCTCCCTTTCATATATACGTATTTCAGTGATTTGGGGAAAAGTCTCAGAGCGCCTTCTTGAAAGATTGTCACCCTGTTTCTATTCGCATGCAGTTCAGTGAGGCTGGTATTTTGAAGGTTTTCACAAAACGGCCTTTCAATGACAACACAAACAGCAAATGGACTTACTATTGCATTAATGAATAACCCTTCAAGCGATGAAGCTATTCCATACGTAGCATTTGTAACACCTTCGAAAGTGAGATCATGATTAGAGGACAGATCTAAAGTTTTGAGATTGTCTTGATGAGCAAAAGATCCTTTTGCAATATAGTGAAGATGACAATTGAAAATCTTTAAATGTTCAAGATAAGGTAAGTATTTAAACGTTTCCTCTGTTACCACAGTCATGTCACACTTGTTTCCTGTACTCTGGATTGCCAGATGAGTTAGATATTTTAGTTTAAAAAACCCAAATCCAAATGTTTTATTCCTTAGACCATCAATATACAAAGTGGTAAGAGATACCAGGTTTGCTAAGGCATCACTTGGGTATTCCACTGTAGGGTCATCTGTGACAGTGTTGTTATTTATGATAAGGATTTTAAGGTTTGGCAACTTCTGAAATAATGAGGGGGAAAAAGCCTTGTATGTTAAGTTATTTCCCTGTAAAGACAGATTCCGTAGGTTTGGCAACGAATCAAATGCTGCCGTTTCGATGAGGTTTACACTGTTATTTGTCAAATCTAAAAGCATCAGTAAAGTTAGATGTACAAAGGAATCGTTGCAGAGTTTCGTCAGCTTGTTTCCACTGAATAGCAACTCTTGGGTATAATTTGGAAGGGAACGTGGTATCATATCCAAGCCTTTATTCCTGCAGTCCGCAGTTCCATTGACCATACACTTGCAAGGTGCACATGGGTGTTGATTGAATACCATATCAATCACAACAACACTGGCAAGAAGCATCTGTATCCACACAGCATTGTGTACCAGCAGCAGCATCGTCGGTTAGAGGTGTTTTCCTACGTTAAAATGAAAACAAAACTGTAGATGTAATGTGACACATAACATTATCTGCTTGAACTTATTCTGACCTCTAAATCTGAAACAACAGTGACATGGATCCACAACAATCATGACTGCTGATACAACTTCATCAAAGACTTAAAATAGTTTTAGTGCTTAAGCTGCTGTGTGAAATGAACTGAAAAGAGCTAGCGTTGTAACTACTGCATCAAGACATCTGTATTCACAAATTTGTCGGTTGAATTTACTCCGTGTTGTGACATTCTTCAGAATTATGTTACATCCACGGCAAAACGTAATCTGCTAAAATGAAATGGTACGTCTTAGCATGGCATAAGTGACTGCATACCTTCAGCAGCCTCTCGGTGTCACAAAATACTGGAATCTGTTATCTAACTCATCCAGGACTCCCTGGCCATGTTCATTATAAACTGATACATTCACTCTTGCCATATACTTTCTTATTCCCCCATCCACCGAATCTTTCCTCTAAATACATTACAATTTACGAAACAATCTCTTCTGATCTAAACTTTCTTGACAACTTATGAGACTCGGAAGCACCATTGTTCCCGACCAATTGAGGTACCCTTCATACCGAAGCCCGGAAACGTTCATTGTCTACCTTATCACCTATAGATGCAGAGATATCTCCAATCTCAACAACGCGCCAAGCATTCCAGACACACATTTACAACGGCCTGACAATTCAACCTGGGTTATCCTAAGCTAAACCTACCTTGCCATCGACCAGGGGCTCCTTTCATGAAGCAACCTTTTACTAAGGTTAACCTTAACTCCCATTCTTTAACACTGTTCTAAGGATACCTTAGTGACTTACGATCACCTTAGTGCTTTGTGAAAGGAGGCCCTGGTCATGACACTGATCAGAAAGTTTTCATTTAACCTCTGTTTTTTTCTCTACGGGACAATTTGAAACCTCTAGTGGATCAGCGGACATAGTGCTAACAAAAATGGTCAGTCAAGTCAACACTTGGGACGGTAACTTATCGATATGACCCATAACTGCCTCTCCCTGAACAAATTGGAGAATTAACCTTTCCTGCAGGCTTTGCTTTGCTTTGGGCGAAAATCATCATCCAATAGCTCAGTGTGACTGGTAGCCGATGTGCACTTCACTTGCAACAAACTCTGCTATGCCTGAACACAGATACTGGCAAAGGACGACGAATTATCTTTACCCTCACAAATTGTGCCTTTACACACATATTCCCCTCCAATGGCGTAGGTCTATCCGTTAAGTAGCAGAGCTGTAATTCACAAACCCTATCATTATCTCTCTATTAAGCAAATCCACTACCACCGTGTACTTTAAACCCTTTTAGCCTGAACTAATGTGAATGGGTGAGCGAGTCAGTTGGGTTTTACGCCGCTTTTAGCAATATTCCAGCAGTATGACGCCAGGGGACACCAGAAATGGGCTAGGTTAGGCTACCCCACCGCCCGCACAGCTGTATGAATGTTTAACTAATATTATAACTCGGTTCAATGTCTACTTCATATCCTTAGTGACCCTCTAAACTATTTAATACCGCTGTTGGTGTGTATACATTTGCCATAACGAATAATAAACACTGTAGAGAATTACAAAATGAGAAAAGATACATTCAGATAAGGACTTTACAATGTTGTCTGTTGAACAGACCATATTCGTCAGTCAAAATATTCTGCATGTGCCACAGTGATTAACGAACGATTAGGTCCTACTATGCTAGAGTACAGCCTCACACACGTGACAAGTACATATCATGCGATAGCGGTGTCCCAAGGACACCCATTATTTGAAATGAACTGAACACAATCATATAGTTTATTACCCACAAAATAAACAATCCCAAATGTATACATAATTAAACTCACCCCGTTGTTTTCACATGTAGGCTCCTTGTGGCGACCCGTGTGCTCGTAGCGTTTCCCGAGTGCTGTAGTTCAAAAGGAAGTTAAATTGATGTTTTTTTGAAACGGTAACAACTTCCTCGTCACAGATTTTGATTTGAGATAGGAACACATCATGGGTCAAACATGTCTATAACGCGCTCCTTACGTACTACATGTGTAACTATATGGCGGCTGTCTGCAAAACATCGACGCGTTAGAAACAGTTCAAACATAAAAATATCATTAGCAAACTATAGTAGTAACTTGTAATTGTTTTTAGATACAAAAATTCCACGAGAATCACGTTGGCCTTATGATATTGGAAATATGTAAAAGGAATAAATAATACAGGACTAAGTGCACGACCTTGGGGGACACCGGTGGTGGTTTCAGAATATGAACTTTTATCAGATACTGGCTTTACTCACTCCTGGACATCGGTGTTTATACTTTTAAATACAGAGTACAATGTACCATGACAATCTTTACAATGAAGATGAAAAAAATGATTAAAACTTATCAACATAATCAAAGTCAGTGAATGCGCCGAAGACGCGGGAAACCGTAAATTAACGCTTAGTCTCTGAATATATACTTTTGGGGTAACAGATAGACCCATTTAAATTGAAAAGGAGCCCAAGTGAGATGGGAGATTCAGAACCTGAGGAAGTCTAGACTTGCTTCATTTTGGGCTTAAGCATTGGAGGGAGGGCTATGCAGTATGGAAAATAATGAGGTTCAGGAACTGGGAAGCCACTGCACCCTGTGTATATGAAGTGTATGGAACAGAATAGCAATCCTTCCCTTCTCCTACGCCTGGATGAAGTCGACTGGTCTTGCAAGTGAAATAGAGTGTAGAAGGCTTCTTTATTGCTGCCCAGAAGCAGTCACTTGCCACTCGCAATCGCGAAAATGTGATAGTCAGAGAGATTAATGTGAGTGAGTGAGAGGTTTACGCCACTTTTAGCAATATTCCAGCAATATCACTGCGGGGGACACCAAAAATGGGCTTCACACATTGTACCCATGTGGGTAAACCGAATCAACAATTATTCTATCAACAAAAAGGTGGGAATGCCAAACGACTTGCCACGATTATGTTTTCAATAGCAGGAAATGCAAATCTTACAATACAATATGCTAATAAATTCGGCCACGTGGTCATGTTTTGAGATGGTTTTCTGCACCTGCACTCAGTCAATTATGTTGCCAAAGCCGTCAGAAATGTATGGAATACTGGAAGGGACAAAACGTGAAAAACTGGACATAATGCGACAACGTGACCTTTTGACTAACTGTAATTATGATCTTTTGTCTGTTTCCATGGTTATGCAACGACAACATTTGGAAGATGTCTTGTGTACATTTAGGTGGCAAAACAGAATTGATTTCATATGTCAAAATATATTTTCGACGGTCTGTGCAAATACATATAATCTGTTTGGCCTATACATGTGTCAAACTCAGTTATCATTAATGCAAGGGCACCTTGACACCTTGACTACCGCTTGCAAGGTTTCTCATTCACACAGGCATAATGTTGAGTACACACGAGGAAATTAAACATATTGTATCATCTTATTAACAATGAGACATCGCAACGAACATATTCCAAGCATTTTTCCTGTTAAACATTTTCATTTGTTGTCTGGAAATGCTTGATAATCTAAATGACGAATCTTTATATTTTCACTTACATAAAGTTAGGTTACCAGTTAGTAGTTTATTATGTGTGATTGCATATGGAAATATAAGGATACTCTGCAAACAATATTTTATGTTTCACTAAACACCTCGCTTGAAATATATACTAGCCACATAAAGAAACTGTGCATTGTCAAAATATTATCCCAGTTGATAAGTACGATAACAATGTCAAAGGAACATATAAACTTTAATGGAGGGATCATGAGACCATAACAAGTCGGGAGAATTTCAGTTGAAAAGCCAATCACAATGACGTCACGAGTCCACAAGCGGGTCAGGGGTCAAACGACCATGTCACAAGCTCAATAACAGGTATGTCCACCATCGGCATTGAGAACAGCAGTGCATCGACGACGCATAGAGCCTATCAAAAGCGCAAGGAAGGCTTGTGGGATGACACGCCAGATTCTCTCGAGTTCTGTTGCAAGGTCAAGGACGTTATCTGGCGGATGAGGAAGACGGCGTAGACGTCTATCCATCTCGTCCCAAACATGCTCTAGCGGGGAGAGATCCGGTGAATTTGTAGGCCAAGGCAGTAAGTCAACGTTGTGGTGTTGCAATAAATCCATAGCAACCCTTGTCGTATGAGGGCCGGCATTGTCCTGTTGGAATGTTAACCCAGGGCCATGACGTTGCAGAAAAGGAATTGCCACAGGTCGAAGAATCTGATCCCTGTATCCCACACCAGTTAAGTTGCCCTGAACAATCACCAAAGAAGTTTCTGGCGTGCTGTTATTCCACCCCAAATCATCACAGAACCACCACCAAAGCGATTCCTCTCCAAGACACAGGCCTGTGCATAACGTTCTCCCACGCGTCTAAAGGCACGTTGACGTCCATCACTATGGGAAATGTTAAACCTGGACTCATCTGTAAAAACAACATTTCTCCACCAAAACAAGGGTCTGCGGACATGATTTCGGCACCACATTCGGCGAGCTTGTCGATGACGTTGTGTCAGGATAGGCCGTATGGCGGGACGTCGTGGTCTGATCCCGTGATGACGTAAACGTTGTCGAACTGTGTTGGGGTGGATACGGCGAAGTGCTGGGATGGTTCGGGCCGTCATCACTGCAGTCTGAAACCTGTGGCGAAGATGGGTCACCCTTATCCATCTGTCCTGTTTTGGCGTTGTTACACGTGGACGTCCAGAACGTGGCCGATCGATGACGTCATTTGTGTTCTGGTAGCGTCTCACCAGTGCAGAAATGGTGTTCCGGTGGCAGTGGAAATGTGCAGCCACTTGTCGTTGAGACATTCCCCCACGGACTATCCCAATGGCCTCATGACGTTGTGCAGACGTGAGCCTTGGCATGCTATGCGTTTCAATAGCCGTTTAATTTTTTGAACGATCGTAAGGGCAGGGGTTGAGCTTTCCAAAGTGAGAGGATTGTGTGGCATTCATTTGCTCTGTTTCTCTTTCCCAGAATGCACGTGCAACAACGTATTGCACGTCTCAAGGACGAACCCACTGACGTCACGGAACGTGGCACGTGCATGCATGTTGGATACATGTCACTAATCTCTGAGTTTCAATCCTTATGTGTCTACACAGGTTTGATAAATTTAGATTTTAAATTTTTGTATGCACAGTTTCTTTATTTGCGTAGTATATTTTCTCGAAGTCGATTACTCCGTTTTACACACAGTATATCTAGGATTTGATCCATAATATCCAACGCTGTTCTATTTGAACAATAACCAACCATTTGCCGGTCCTACGCTTGTATTGTATGTGTGAACAGAGAGTAAATAGAAATAAAAGAGATGTACTTTTATGTCACAAAATATAGGACAGAATGATGACTTTACTTTTATATCGGTCGAGTCTCAATACAAAACCACGCAGACCGTTATCATAAATATGTATGTGTGTCTCACCCTAGGCAAGTGAGCTTGTTCAAACTTGCCTCTGTTCACCCACCAGAAAATGGGTACCCGGTGGGATAAGTATTGTGACTATTAACCTTCTAGCGCCTCACAGGCCACTTGGGTTATCCGGGGTAATAATAATCAGATTGTGTGTTAGCGATCTGAGCATGTATGTGCCTTGTACATTGAAAAGGCGCATTATATATTCAAAATTATTATGGTGTTTTTCCTCACTCACAAATATAAAACATAACAACGAGGAACTACTACGACCCGACATGACTTGACCTACCCCAACGTCTCTATGACTCTTTCATCGACTACCAGAAAGTATTCCCCCACAGGCAAAATAGATCTAATTTTGAAATTATCCTCATCACGTGCTAACCCGCCTTGTGCAAGTAGGTCACTGTGTGAAGAGAAATGGGGTTTAACGCTCCACTCAAGGTTATTCATATATGTTGCAGCATGCAGGTACTTGTGTTTGATTGTTTGTAATAGTTCTTATTATGTCGGTTTCATTGTGTTTGTCCACGCAAAATACCATACAATTGATATATTATTACTTTCAAACACAAAATGTGACACTACCGACCTTCTACTTTCCGGTTGGGGTGACTTCCCAAGGTTTCAATCTCCTGTTTATGTTTATCGTTGATAGAACTTAAGAGCCGTATGATATATCTTTGAAATGTTAGTAAAGAGAGCATGCTCGTCTGTACCTCACCTTTAACATTGCTCGACATTAAATGTAAACAACATATTGACTTGTTAAAATTGTTTTTTTTTATAATCCTGAATCTTCAGATAAATCGTCATATGAAAAACATGAGGTTGTCTCACTACTCTAATTTATTGCAAGTGCTGGCTGGTATATCAGTGAATTGTCTATTTGATGGTTATCAGATATCGTTATACCTGAAGCTGAAGTTAGGCATCTTGGTTATATTACTGTTTTGATATTCTGATTCCTAAGTCGAAGGAAACAGGTTCTCAAGGAGCGGACACCGTTGGTAGCCATGGGATGATTGCTTCTAGACTAATGTTTCACCCTTCCAATTTTTACTTTCTGATTCCTATCTCAACGGAAACAGGTTCTCAAGGAGCGGGCACCGTTGGTAGACATGGGATGAGTGCTTCTAGATTGAATGGTTTACCCTTCAAGTTTTCCATTCTCATGTTCATGTGTAAAGAAACAGGGTCGCAAGGAGCGGGCACCGTTAGTAGCCTTTGCATGATTGCTTCTAGACTGAATGTTTTACCCTTAAAGTTTTACATGAATGTTATCCATGAGGCTGTCCAACATTTCACATATTGTTTTCTCAATAACCATCATCTAAAACGTGATGAACACAGATCTACATTCTATCAACAAGCCAGTGGTGTTGAGTGCCTGCCAACCGAAGGTTCACTCTGGATAGTCTGTTGAGGCGCCAAAAGGAATTTCATGTAATTGTAAGACAACATGGCACATT